AAAGTAATAAAGGCCACCCTAGAGTAAAATTAAAAAATATAACTTAAATTGTCAAAACCATTGATATTTTGCATTAAAACTCAAACGCACATTATTTTATTGATAAAAATAGGTATGATACGTCTTAAAAATTATATGCCCTCTACACGGAGAGAAAAATTTTGCCAAAATAACCATCCAAAGTATTGTTAAATGACGTATCGTGAATTTAGTCAACTGTTTTATTAAACTGAGGATCTGTATAACTAATTTAGCCATACAAATCCTCAGTTTAATAAAACAGTTGACTAAATTCACGATACGTCATTTAACAATACTTTGCAAAGCAAAATTTTTCTCTCCGTGTAAATATTTTACGGTTTTAAAAAAATTATTGCTTGGGTAAAAATTCAACAAAACTTAAAACCTACAAAATTTTATAAAATCTTTTAAAAATCATTTAGTTTTAATCATTTTTTAATAACTAAAACTTTTCTTATTATATTTTAGAAAGATATTCATGAAAAAATATTATATAAATGTTTAGATAAGTAATGGATGCCATCTTAAAAAACTCATTATGGCGGCCTAAAAAAAAATTCCCGCAAAGTTTTATTTTTCACTTTAAGCTTATTCTTCCTTGTTTAGTCAATATTATTAGTATTTATTACCCACTAATAACCCTAAAAAATACCAGGCGAATAGGAATTATTTACGGTTATAACGTGGTCTTAATATCCTAAAATTATGACTTATGAGTAACATTTACCATTAAGTAAAAATTCTGACATTAAAATTACCGTTAAATTTTCCTTTAGGTGAAATACACTTATAAGTAATTTTCTTTCGTAAAAATTACGTCCCTCATAATACTTTAAAGTGTTGAAACTTAAGGGTTATTAAAATAGGTAAAAATAACATAAATAAAACTTATATTATAACTTTAAAAAAAGTTTTACTTCAAAGTAAATTTTGAAGGTTAATTTAACAAAATATTTACTTAAATTAAGTAATATTGCCTCAAAGCTCTACGCTTTTACTTAAAATGCTGCTTGGGAGTAAACTTTAAAGTATTTTTTACGGTTAACCAAAACGGTTTTATAACGGTATAGTTACGAAAAATTACCAAATTTGGGGAATGGTTTATTTCGTTATTTTATCTACATAATAACCATTTTGATCTACTAAGAGAATAACGTAATAAAAACAATATAAATACCACAAATTTACGTAAAAATAACGCTATAATTACTAATAGTTTGCTCTCTCTTTCTAAAACATGGACATTCGTTTTTTTTTGTTCTTTTAATTTATATTTTACAAAATGGTACTTACAAAATAATAAAGGCCACCCTAGAGTAAAATTAAAAAATATAAGTTAAATTGTCAAAACTAATAATATTTTGCATTAAAACTCAAACGCACATTATTTTATTGATAAAGATAGGCGTGCACGATACATCTTAAAAATTATATGCCCTCTAAATATTTTACGGTTTTAAGAAAAATTATTGCTTGGGTAAAAATTTAACAAAACTTAAAACCTACAAAATTTTATAAGATCTTTTAAAAATCATTTAGTTTTAATCATTTTTTATTAAATAAAACTTTTCCTATTATATTTTAGAAAAATATTTATGAAAAAATAGATAGATAGATAAGTCATCTTAAATAACTCATTATGGCGACCTGAAAAAAATCTTCCCTTAAAGTTTTGTTTTTCACTTTAAGCTTATTTTTCCTTGTTTAGTCAATATTAATAGTATTTATTACCACTAATAACCCTAAAAAATACCAGGCGAATAGGAATTATTTACGGTTATAAAGTTATTAAGTAAAAATTCTGACGTTAAAATTACCGTTAAATTTTCTTTAGCTGAAATACACTTATAAGTAGTTTTCTTTTGTAAAAATTACATCCCTCATAAAACTTTAAAGTGTTGAATCTTAAGGGTTATTAAAATAGGGAAAAATAACATAAATAAAACTTATTATGTAACTTTAAAAAAAGTTTTACTTCAAAGTAAATTTTTAAGGTTAATTTAACAAAATATTTACTTAAATTAAGTAATATTGCCTCAAAGCTCTACGCTTTTACTTGAAATGCTGCTTGGGATATCTAAGTCCATTGCTTTTACAATACTTTTTCAACGTACAATATTCCTAAATCTGTGAGCCTCTCTTGTAACATTGTAGTCCTTAAATTTTTATTTTTTTTAAGCCACTAAACGACCTCTCAAAATTTTTTGCTCAAATGTTTAGTTTAGCAGGTTGGGCGAGCGGTTGGGCAGGAACAATTTGGGTTGGGCGCTCGCCCAACCGCGCCCACCCCTGGCGCCGCCACTGTGTGTACTTACGAATACGTTTAATATTTTATGGATTTTTTTATACCCATACCTTGACTCGAGTTGTGGAATAAGTTTAAGTTTTATCAGGGGCGGCCTACGTACATCAATAACTTACTTGAAGTAAGTAGGTATACATGCACATAAATAAAATTGAAGTGCTCAAATTCTTGTCCGGGCTAATCTCCGAAACGGGCCGTTTTTGACAGGACTTTCATTGGTAGGTAGAGGACTTTTCACCTATAGTTGTAAATAAATAAGGTGAAACTATTATAAATATTTATTTGTCATAAAAAAGTATACATTTAAATAAGTTATTTAGGTACGGATTGATTAATACAAAGTTTTCATCAAAATTAGGATATGTAGATTTTTCTTGATTGTCATTATTATTATTATTATCGTCACTATTTACAGTTGTACTTAAATCTTCAGTATTGGATGAAGACTCACCATACACTTCATGCAAATCATCTAGCTGTTTACTAATATCCCCACTTCTAATGTTGGTATTCGTTACTTTGGTAACTAGCTGCTTAGCTTCGGATTCCAGACGTTTTAGCCTCTCATCTCTAGCTGCAAGAACTTCTTCTAAAGTTTTCCTTGGTTTATCTGGTGTTTATGACTTTGTTGTTGACGAGAAGTACCTACTGGGCGTATTTACATCAATATTATTTGTACTTTCCGGCGATCCTTCTGGATCTTGACTAGATGAAGAACTTTCTTGCTTTGAAGATGTACTGGATTCAGTTATTTCTTCTTTATTTGTACTCTCTGACAGAGTCTGTCTTTTCTTGGTTTAAAGTCTGCACTTCTTCAGTCTTTAAAGGGAAATCATCATTTGGATTGGGAATTTCTTCAGGAACAATTGAAGAACCAGCTTCTTCAACAACTGCACCTGCCTGCTCAACTATTTTTTCTTCCAAAACCTCTAATTCTTTGACTGGATTCTGATCACATGCATTTGAAGATGAAGCTTCTACTGGCTTTTGGTTGCATTCTGATACATCAGTTTCATATCCAGGTTCATCGTCAGATGAAGAGCACTCCCTATCATCACTGTAACCACTTTCACAGCTATTGTTTATGTCTTCAGTCACATTATTTCGTCTGGAAGCGAATTCTTTCCTCAATTGGTTCCATTCTCTTTCGGTTGTGGCATTTTTCTCTCTCGCTTGCAACCATTTTTCCCTACTATATTCCAATTCTTCTCGAAGTTGACCCAATAGTTTTCTTTTTTGCGCCAATTCGTAGCGTAGAATTTTTTCTTGCGTGTGAAGCAAGTTGTGTTGTTTTTGAAGTTTACCTACGACATGCCATGTCTTTGAGAGCTCGCTTGTCACTGTTTCCAGTCTCTTTTCCTGGTCTTGTAACCTTGATTCCAGATGGCCGTTTAGTTGTTTTAAGTTGTTTGTTTCTTTTTCTAGTGATTTCTTTTCCAATATGAGATTCTGAAATTTAACTTTCATGATTTATGTTTTAAAAATTGTGAGTGAAACTAACCTTAAGGTGGATGTACACAGCAAACGGAAAATTATAGAGGTGTATAGGATGACGCCACGTTTGAATATCGTTTTCTAAATCTCCCTACGGTATAGAGTTGTATTCTTCAGTCGAGCGTTTCAATACTCTCCACAGTATAGAGGTCGTAATTTTACTTTTGAACTAGTATTAATATAAAAATGATTTTATGCTTAAAAAAAACTATATACGACATGATTGTGATTTTTTTCATTTTATTAATTAATTAAGCTGTGTTGAATATTTTTCCTAAAGGAATAATTGCCAATGGGCCATTAATTCATTTGTTCGTAGATGCTACAATAACCTGCACTGGTGTGTACTTTTTCATCAACCAGATTTAAATATTACAAAACTAACATATACCAGTGGAGATAGTGCAGGGTCTACCAACAGACCTAAATTATTAAAGTTTATATCGATCATTTTTTCAACATAACCTCTGAAATTTTTAATACAAATATAGGTACTTTATATAATACATAAATATAATTAACATCATATCATCTGTGCTTTACATACCTGAGTTGTTACGGTAACTAAAAATCAGACAAAGGAACCAAAGAAAGGAACTATTTTCAACAAAATCATATGCAGAAAGGAGAAACTTCAAACTACTTGCATCCATCAAAAGATCAAAACTTCTTGCAATATTACACCCTCTTTTTATACTCTCAGAAATATTGACTAGAACAGTATTAGAGAGACTTCAGTTTCTATAACTTGGTAGAGTAAAGAGAAGTCGAAACCGTTGCGATATTGCATTGCGCTGTTTTTGTATAATTCTCGGAAACATTAACGAAAATCATTGCCAGTAAAATTCGAAAAGCTTGAGTTTCTATGTCTCTGAGGAGAATAGGAATCCGAAGTTGCTGCACCATTGGACTGAACCCTTTTTTAATAATTTTTAGAGACATAAATGACTGCACCATTCGACAGGGTCGAGTTTCTACTCCTCTGTTGAATATAGAAAATCAAAATAATTTATCTTGTAAGACACCATTGAGTTTGACTTTAAATATAGTCGTGCATAGGTATAGAGCCGAAAAATATAAAAACAAAGTACGATTCAATACAGTTATGATAAAACTTTAAGATTTGATATTCAAACGCGGAGTCATCCTATACACTTCTATAATTTTCCGTTTGCTGTGTAAGTCTGGCTGACACTGATCACCAAATTTGGTCCCTTCGTGGTTTCCACTCTTTTGTAGCAAGGATTTTGCGTTTCTTCTTCGGTTAAGTTAATGGTGATTGGAACTTTTTGATGGCTTAATAGCTCAATCAAAACCCTCCACACTTTTGGTAGGTTTTCTACAATTTCCTCCACGCTGTTTAGTTGGCGACTAGAGCTTGCTTGTGGATCTATAATTCAACTTTTATAAACAAAAAATCTACACATAAAGTTTACCTGTTTCTATTTGTGTTTGATCGGTTTCTTCAACTAAGTCCTTCTCTTTAACTTGATTACCAAATCTAAAAGCACTTTTGGCAAAATTGATAATACCTCCTTCTATATTTCAATGAGGACGATATTTTGTAATAATCCATGATTTTCCTCCAGTAGAGTCTTCAGTTTATCCAAATCAAAACCTTGAGCTTGAGTATTATTAAAACCCAGCAATATTTGCGAAAATAACTGATTGATTACAGCAAGTTCTGCTTGATATTCTCTGCACTCGGCCTTACTCAAACCATAATCACTTTGCAGTGATTTAATCTCATCGTATTTGTTGGAGTTTTCTGTTTCCAATTGCGTAATTCTTTCGTTTTGCTCTTGGTTTTTCTTTTACTCATCTTCAAGTTCCTTAAGGAATTTGTGATTTCTTCCAGTTTGGAAGCAAGCTCTTCTTTTTCCAGTTTGTTCGCTCTATGACGTTCTTCGTAAAACTGTCTAAGATTTCGTATGTTTAGTAGCTGCCTTTTGAAACGGCTGAATCGATTTTGACATTGGTAGGGACAGGACTTTTCATCTAGACTCAGGTAAAACTATTATAAATATTTATTTGTCATATAAAAAGTATACATTTAAATAAGTTATTTAGGTACAGATTAATTAATACAAAGTTTACATAAAAAAATTAGGATATGTAGATTATTCTTGATTGTCATTATTATTATTATTATTATTATCGTCACTATTTACAGTTGTACTTAAATCTTCAGTATTGGATGAAGACTCACCATACACTTCATGCAAATCATCTAGTTGTTTACTAATATCCCCACTTCTAATGTTGGTATTCGTTACTTTGGTAACTAGCTGCTTAGCTTCGGATTCCAGACGTTTTAGCCTCTCATCTCTAGCTGCAAGAACTTCTTCTAAAGTTTTCCTTGGTTTATCTGGTGTTTCTTGACTTTGTTGTTGACGAGAAGTACTGGGCTTATTTACATCAATTTTAGTTGTACTTTCCGACTTTCCTTCTGGATCTTGACTAGATGAAGAACTTTCTTGCTTTGAAGATGTACTGGGTTCAGTTATTTCTTCTTTATTTGTACTCTCTGTCTTTTCATGGTTTAAAGGTTGCACTTCTTCAGTCTTTAAAGGGGAATCATCATTTGGATTGGGAATTTCTTCAGGAACAATTGAAGAACCAGCTTCTTCAACAACTGCACCTGCCTGTTCAACTACTTTTTCTTCCAAAACGTCTAAATCTTCGACTGGATTTTGATCACATGCTTTTGAAGATGAAGCTTCTTCTACTGGCTTTTGGTTGCATTCTGAAACATCAGTTTCATATCCAGGTTCATCGTCAGATGAAGAGCACTCCCTATCATCACTGTAACCACTTTCACAGCTATTGTTTATGTCTTCAGTCACAATATTTCGTCTGGAAGCGAATTCTTTCCTCAATTGCTTCCACTCTCTTTCGGTTGTGGTATTTTTTTCTCTCGCTTGCAACCATTTTTCCCTACTATATTCCAACTCTTCTCGAAGTTGACCCAATAGTTTTCTTTTTTGCGCCAATTCGTAGCGTAGAATTTTTTCTTGCGTGTGAAGCAAGTTGTGTTGTTTTTGAAGTTTACCTACGACATGCCATGTCTTTGAGAGCTCGCTTGTCACTGTTTCCAGTCTCTTTTCCTGGTCTTGTAACCTTGATTCCAGATGGCCGTTCAGTTGTTTTAAGTTGTTGGTTTCTTTTTCTAGTGATTTCTTTTCCAATATGAGATTCTGAAATTTAACTTTTATGATTAAGTTTTAAAAATTGTTAGTGGAACTAACCTTAAGATGGATGTAAGTCTGGCTGACACTGATCACCAAATTTGGTCCCTTCGTGGTTTCCACTCTTTTGTAGCAAGGATTTTGCGTTTCTTCTTCGGTTAAGTTAATGGTGATTGGAGCCTTTTGATGGCTTAATAGCTCAATCAAAACCCTCCACACTTTTGGTAGGTTTTCTACAATTTCCTCCACGCTGTTTAGTTGGTGACTAGAGTTTGCTTGTGGTTCTATAATTCAACTTTTATAAACAAAAAATCTACACATAAAGTCAATATTACCTGTTTCTATTTGTGTTTGATCGGTTTCTTCAACTAAGTCCTTCTCTTTAACTTGATTCACCAAATCCAAAAGCACTTTTGGCAAAATTGATGATACCTCCTTCGATATTTCATTGACGACGATATTTTGTAATAATCCATGATTTTCCTCCAGTAGAGTCTTCAGTTTATCCAAATCAATACCTTGAGCTTGAGTATTATTAAAACCCAGCAATATTTGCGAAAATAACTGATTGATTACAGCAAGTTCTGCTTGATATTCTCTGCACTCGGCCTTACTCAAACCATAATCACTTTGAAGTGATTTAATCTCATCGTATTTGTTGGAGTTTTCTGTTTCCAATTGCGTAATTCTTTCGTTTTGCTCTTGATTTTTCTTATGCTCATCTTCAAGTTCCTTTGTGGTTTCTTCCAGTTTGGTTGCAAGTTCTTCTTTTTCCAGTTTGTTCGCTCTATGACGTTCTTCGTATAGCTGCCTAAGATTTCGTATGTTTAGTAGCTGCCTTTCGTATTCTTCTCGTAAATCTTGGGATAAAATGTTCATTTCTCTGCTGGCTAACGTTTGTTCGATGTTTTCCACTTTATCTTTTAGCTGTAACATACAGGAAGTATTATATTTAGTCGGTTTATATTTATATATACTTACTTCCTTTAGCTGTGCCTCCCTGATTTGTAGCATGTGCTTGGAGACTTTGATGACGTCCTTTAAAGCAACCACATGGGTTTGATAATCTTCTCTTTCCTGCTCAAAGTTTACCGCTTCGCTGTTTAAAACTTGAAGATCCTTTTGCATTTCGGCAATTTGCACTCTGAGTTCATTATTCTTCACACCCAAATCTTCGATTTTGTCTGCAGTCTTTCGGGCATCTTCAACTACTATTTTCAATTCCTCGTTTTCTCTTCGTAATTGTTGGATCTCGATCGTTTCGAAAGCTTGTTCGGGTTTATTTTTCCTCAGTATTTCGTTCTCCTGCTTCAGCATTTGCACTTGCTGCCTCAGATCTTCCATCTCTTTGCGTTTTTGCGCCAGAATTTCTCGTCTGCGTTCGTGTTTCCTGGCCAGATCCAACTTGAATTCGTCCAGTTGTTCTCTGTTTGTCAGTTGGTTCAGACTGCGCTCCGTGTGCACTTGGTCTTGGATTTTATTAAGGCTCGGCTCGGAATTTTGCGAACTCGAACTGTCATCACGAATTTGCGGCTGTGCGCTAAAATAGCCGCCCATTTTTCTGTAATGCCAAAACAAAAGTTTATTATTAACCGATGTGTTAAAAATCATGCTTAATAATTATAAGTAATGCGTGTATTTTTGGTTTGTGCGGTATTTACATAAGGAAATAAAAATTGGCGGACGAATTTTTCTTATCGCATACGAACAAAGGAGTTATATTTAGTTTGGAAGTAAAATCAACGCAGTTAGTTGAAATTCCAAGAAGGAACGAGAATTGTTTTTACTGCGTTATTGGTATTCTTCCAAAACAAATTTTAATCGAGTACAAAACGTTTAGGAATTTACTTTCTTTTTTTTTAGAAGTGTGTATTAACTAATGCATTAGCATCTTCTAAAGATGTTGGTGAAAATTCACCAGAGAAAAAATGTTGAAAGTCTGTAAAAATTTGTTTATTAAAAGGGCAAAAAAATGATTTAATTGTGATATTATTTCTTATTATAATATAATTCACTATTTATAATTTATTAAATTTAGTTAATATGTGGATGGATTCTTTGGGTTTATTTTAATCAATAAAATATTTAAGTTTTTGGGCCAATGAATCTAATATATTTTTTTGGCCAAAAATAAGACTGCTTCTTTTAACTTTTTGCCAAGAATGAATAAAAATTATCTACATGGAGTAACACATGTGACTCTTGGCTTTTACCTAAATATTATATAAGTTTAAACTTTGCTTTATTATGGGATGCCATTTCAATGCAAATAAAAAATATTGGCCGAATTCAAGTTTAATGGACCTGAATATGGTTCTATTCAAGATTTGACGTACTTTGTGGATGTTTTTACCTTCATAGTCATTGAATATTTTGTGATGAATAGAAATCCAGTATAGAATATTCAAGGTGCTGAATACTAAATGGATTAAGTATCTCAAGAATCTCGTGCTGATGAATATTATTTATTCTATCTTACAAAAACGTTTTCACCTTCAGTCTTTGAATATTTTGTGATGAATAGGAATTTGATATAGGAAATTCAAGGTGCTGAATACTTCTCAATGGGTTTCTCAATACTTCCCTGAAGTATTTGCAGTCAAAGTTGATGTGTGTTCTGATTTGTAAAAATGAATATTGTATGCTCTTTACTCGAGTCGAGGATTCAAATTCGAAGATTAAGTGGAAGAGAACGTTTTAAGATAGGTAGTAGGTAATTAATAAACATAGAAAAAACAAAAAATTTACGTTTTGGGCCCTGTTTTTGTATAATAATTTTTTCGTAAATATTGTGATACCGTTGAGTGAAGAAGTGAAGAAGTTCTTTAGTCATTCTTTAGTAAATAGTTATACTATAAATATTTATAAATTGTTAACACATAAACATAAGCGTTATACCGCTTATGTTATACCGTTTATAAACATAAAAATATGATTTCTTTCGTTGACTATACTTGACAGATACATAACCTGAAATGCCTTAAATGTCAAATGAGTCGAGGATTCAAATTTAATGAAGTGGAAGAGAACGTTTCAAGATTTAAGAGAGTAATTAATAAACCTAGAAAAAACGACATGAGACGGAAGCCACGTCATATACGGCGTGGGTCTTATTTTTTTATAATAATTAATTTTGTTGAAAATAAACGAATAATTGTCATGTGATGCAATAACCAGTAAAACATTAGGTATGATACCTACTGTGACCCAGGAGAATGCACAGTTTTGCCACGCTGCATAAAAAATACAAAAAACGTGTTGTAGCTTCAAGATAGTTCAAAACACCATTTCCTACTAAAATCCGTTACCAAATACATTACCGCAAGGGGGCAGCACTAAAAAATGTGCGCTTAGTTCAAAAGGTCATTTATAAAAGCTGTGACCCAGGAGACGTGACCTAGGGGACCAAAATTAGGGGACAAACTTTAGGGGTTATTTTAACCACTTATATTTTTAAATATTACAACTAATGGGCTTTTTCTGTAATATTTGGAATATATTCTCAACTATATAAAAAAGGAGGATGCTATTTTACTCTAAGTTGTTTAAATAGCATTAAGTAGTGAATATTATTGCAAGTGGGACAGCTACTTGTCTGTACTGTTGGGGAAATTTTTTTTCTGATAGTATTAAATTTAATATTTTACAGTTTAATATAGATGGGTCGTTTTCAAAAAACACCCGCCTTCCGCTGTCCGTAAGTTTGAATTCCAATAACTTTGTTAAAAATTATCGGATCTTATTGATTTAAAAACCAAGTGAAAGCCTAACAAGCCCTTAGTAAACTCTTTCAGAAAATTTTTGTTTAGTTATTTCAGAATAATTTTTTTTTAATTTTGAAACTTGATCAACAAATGATGTTCGGACGTACACATTACCCAGCTGAATTTATTTATTCAATCAGGAAGAAGATATCGGTTGAAACAGGTGCGGGTAACGCGAATGTAATAATTGTTTGTCCGCTAAGTTACTCAAAAAAATAATAAAAATAAGTTAAGAAAAAATACTATTTTTCATGTTTATGTTTATTTTAGGGCACTAAAGCTCATTGAGAGTAATTAATGACTGTAATGTTTTATTATTTTTTAAATATGGTTTTATAAAACTTTGTCCACTGCGTTACCGAGTCAACTATGTTACCTTATGGTAACGCAATGGAATTTAGGGTAACGCAATAGAATTTTTCGACAACAAAGTGGATATTTACCGTCGCTTTTATTATAAGTAGTTTAAAATTATTTGTAATTACAACTCATGATATAGATTACATCCAAGGAAAAATTCCACGCAATATAAAAGTAGGTAGTAAAAGGGACCTTCACCAGCTTATAGTTAAAGAAAAAGGGTGTCTACAATTAAGAAATCTAAGTTTTTATTCTGCAAGTGAGCACCACTACAAGGATTTTGTTTATGCATTACTCTAAAATCGTACCACCCTATATAGTTTCTTTTTTTCTTTATACGATTAAGTCCTTTGTGTACCCCTGTCCGTTGTGATACCAATGTCTATTTCGTTACTTGTTTTTAGTTTTTGTTAAAAAAAAATACTTAAAATGATTTTTATACACTATCACTTGGTAATACGTGTTTATAAATTAGAGTTTAATTCACTAATACAGTGACTAAAAGAAAATATTAATGGTATTGTTTTTTTAACAAAGAATCGGAATGGTTTCTTTTAAAAAATACATATTTAAAAAAAGTACATACATATTTAAAAAAAAGCATACAATTTTTAATAAAAAATAAAATAAAAAATTGGAGTCAAAAGTTTGTGAACTAAGTACATTTTATTTCAAATTATTTTTATAACAACTTTTTTTATTGAATTAAATTTTGGATTTCAAATTGGTAATGGAGATATATAAAGCTAACTAAACACATTTTTCTGAAAAAAACGTAAAAAAAGTAAACATTTATAAAAATCCAACCAAAAGTCAATTTCCTGAAAGCGGGTGTTTCTTGAAAATGACCCAGATATAGTTGCTAAAAATACTTGAAACAATTGATTTCGCTTAGTAAAGTTCGAAATGGCGTTAAATGTTAAATACAATTTTATTTGTAAGAGCAGAATACTTATTACTCATGACAACGTGAAACTTCAAAAGAAGTCCTTTGCCAAGTACCCACTAAAAAAGTGCATTATACTTTTTGACAAATAACTATTTATAAAGTACTTGTTTTTTTAAATAAGTAATATATAAAACTAAATGACATTAAGTTCTGTAAGTAGGTAATGAGATTAATTAGAAATTATTGTGTTTAAAACAATATTTAGTATTATTATGAGTCAAGTAACCTGTGACAAAAATGTCAAAAATATTGTACTGATATTTTAATTGTGTTATACACTTTAAGAACGTCAATGTATTAATGTATAAAGTATAATAATCAAAAGTATAAACATTTATAACATCAAGATAATGGTTAGAACCCAACCCATCAAATGCTAAACTAAATGAGCCCCTTACACAAAACCCGTTTGTAATATAATGCATAAAATAGTTATAAACAATAGAAAAATCGTCAAAAATAACTTACAAATGTCCAAAATAAACCTGTAACACCAAAAACTAGCTTGAACTACAAAATTAACTGTGGTTGCGCGCGTATTAAGGATTATTAATAGAAAGTATTCATCGCTAGGCGTCGTGGTGGACCGAAGACGTCTGCCAGAATTTAAAAATAACATTTATTTTGGTCAGCGGCGGCACGTCAAAGTTTTATGAAATTTTTAACTAGTATTTATAACGTATTTTCAATTTTGGTGTAAATAGCACTTCTTTGTGAGTGGGGGATATCGATTCAACGCCAACAACGCTGCAGTGTCTTGACAACAGAAAAATGTACATTCCTGATAGCACAGTTTATTCTAAGAATGTTTTTTAAACCTTCCAGTGGGAATATTCTTAGGATCATGCTATATTTCTTCTAGTCACGTTCTAAGAATGTTTTTTAAACCTTCCAGTGAGAGTATTCTTAAGATCATGCTATATTTCTTCTAGTCATGTTCTTAGAATGTTTTTTTAAACCTTCCAGTGAGAATATTCTTAGGATCATGCTATATTTCTTCTAGTCATGTTCTAAGAATGTTTTTTTAAACCTTCCAGTGAGAAAATTCTTAGGATCATGCTATATTTCTTCTAAAGAACATCCTTAAAAGAAATATAGCATAATCCTAAGAATATTCTCACTAGCCTATAGGCAGGTTCTTAGAAGGTGCAAAGTTTAGTGGTAAAAATTAATCCACTCTAAACATATGCTTAGAATGTTGAGAAAGTAATTGCTATAGAAAGTTCATTTAGGAATATTCCTATAACAAAAATACTTTTACTATAGGTATCTAAATTATCCGGCTTTTACATAAAATCTTCTATCCAACTTAAATACAATGAAAAATGTTTTTTTTTATGAAGAACTATAAAATATAAAAGGTATACCTTAGGAGGTACATTTTTTTATAGCCGTTACAATTTTAAATTTAAGTTAAATAATAATATTTTATTAATCGCTTACAAAATTAGTTTCATTATCAGTGCATCCCTGATAGCAAAATTTGATTCTAAGAATCTTCTAAGAAGATATGACCCGGAATAATGGAATATTCTTAGAACCTTCCCTTATTGCTAAGAATGTTCTTAGGGACTTTTAAAACATTCAATAGATACCCTTTTAATGATGCAATTAGATTCTAAGAAGCTTCTTAAAACCTTCCTAAAAAGCATTCTAAGAACATTTTAAGAATACGTTTTTGGAATGTTCTTAGAAGGTTTCTTATGGAGCTTCTAGGAAGCTTTTGAGAATATTTCCAAATATGTCAGATACTCACGTTCTAATATGTTGGATTCTACATTCGTAAAATTCTTCAGGAGGCGACAAATACGCCTCACTGTCATAATATGACAGTGAAATGTATTTGTCGTCCCCTTAAAAAATTTTGCGACATATTAATATATATTTATTTAAAAATATTAAATAAACAATTTGACCTTTAAACCATAAGTTGTATGACATTATTTCATAAAAAGTAAAATTGGAAAATTTTGTGGCATAAGTCAGATTAGATTGAAGTTGAAGATAGTTAGGATTATTATACATAAAAATGAATTCAGATATAAAAAATCGGTATACAAATTAATAATTATTTATTTTTAACATAAAATAAAATATAAAAAAACAAAATATTTTCTCATAAAATAATTCTTCATAAAAGAAAAAACCAAATAGTTCTTCATAAAAAACCATTTTTCATTGTATTTAAGTTGGATAGAAGATTTTATGTAAAAGCCGCATAATTTAGATACCTATAGTAAAAGTATTTTTGTTATCGAATATTGTTTTAATTTGACAAATAACTAAAAAAAAATATTTTGGGTTGTGTTTTTTACTTAGTATTTAATACTAAGTATAGGTACCTTTATACGTAGATTATAGTATATTTTACTATTATATAGGTACCTAACTGAACTGAATATGCTTAACAGAATGTTCCAGGAATATTCCTAAATGAACTTTCTATAGCAATTACTTTCTCAACATTCTAAGCATATGTTTAGAGTGGATTAATTTTAACCACTAAACTTTGCACCTTCTAAGAACCTGCCTATAGATAGGCCAGTGAGAATATTCTTAGGATTATGCTATATTTCTTTTAAGCATGTTCTTTAGAAGAAATATAGCATGATCCTAAGAATATTCTAACTGGAAGGTTTAAAAAACATTCTTAGAACATGACTAGAAGAAATATTGCATGATTCAAGAATATTCTCACTGGAAGGTTTAAAAAACATTCTTAGAACATGACTAGAAGAAATATTGCATGATCCTAAGAATATTCCCACTGGAAGGTTTAAAAAACATTCTTAGAATAAACTGTGCTATCAAGGATAGAACTGTTTTTTTGGACAAATAATAATAACTATATTTATCAATGCCTTTCTGCATCCGGAAGTGTGGACCCAAATTTTTTTATGGTAATGGCTAGATCTCCAGATTTGAATCCCCTGGACTTTTTATGAGGGGTGCTTTAAAAATGAAAATTTACGCAACTGTGAATTGTAAAAAATGGCGAATGCACCTGTGTTGCTCTATTTTTATTTTTTTATTTTGATTAAATCTGTTTTCGTAACGCCTCTGGCAATCGGTAGATTTGGGCGTCTCAATTCAATCCCGGAGAGAATGAGAACAGAAAATCTTACACATTAAATATTATCTAAGAAGTTTAGTTAATTTTAACACGCGAATTGGACAACTTTTTAAATTTGCTTGCCTATTAAATGATAAATAATAAATCAAGAAGTCTCGTGTAATTTAAATTTAAAATGTGTAAATATAGGTAGTTGTTTTTGTTTAAAGTGTATTTATATTGTCAAAATAGATTTATAATTAGAAGTTGCAGTTTAAGTTTTGGTTTATTAGTGTTGAGATTGAAAAGGACTGTATTATGAGGTAAGGTTATGTTAATAATTTAACTAAAATTAATCTTTGACTTTATAAATAATAAATGTTAAAAATGCTAAAACTTGGAGTTGGCAAATAAACCAATAATTAAGTTATTAATACTTTTATTAGCACCTGTTTAAAGTTAGACACAAACAATAATTAGAATATATCTTTGAACACTGGATCATTTAATATTATATTATGTATCAAGTTTTACAAACGCCATTTTAGTTACGAAGCACGTGCGAAGCTTTCGAGCGAGTGATTAATAAAAACGAGTGTCTAGAGAATTTATAAAACGAGTTGCATACTATACTTTATCTACGACGAACACAAAGAAGAATTTAAAGCCAATTTTATTTGTTAAACCTTTGACATCTGGCAACTGATTTAACCTCACTTTTCCCTAATTTATAATAAAGCTAACTTCAGCCCGTGACTAAAATGCCCACTATTGCTTACTTTACCCCGTGAGTAATCCAACTAATATCGTAATCTTATTTTTACTTTTAGAAAACTACTAATAGGACTATGCATATTTTTCATCATTTTGCAAGTAACTATAGCTGACAAAAAAGGTAAACCAAAATTGGATGATGACGACAGCAATGAAATAATATTAAAAAAAGATGCTGGTAAATTTAAGAACAAAAAAACTGATGTAGACGAACATTGCAAAAAAGGAAAATGTGATAAATCTGAAACGGAAAAGAAAGGCAGCAAATGGTCAAAACCTGATAATGCTGATGATGATAAACTTAAGAAAAGTAAATTTATTGATTTGAGAAAACCAAAAGAAAGTGAAAATAGGGAAGATCATAAAAAAGAAAAATATATAAAGAAGAACAAGAAAAAAGATGACGAGGATTCAGATGAAGATGACGACAAGCCCAAAAATAGTAAAATAAGTAAGATAAAGTTTCAGGAAAAATTGAGGAAAAACAAGAAAGTTGCAGACAATGATGATGACGATGATGATGATGATTCCAAAGAAGGTAAAAGCTTATTTTAATAAATATGTCAAATAATGATTTTTATTTAATTTAGTGAAAAAGAATAAAAGAAACCCGAAGCCAAAGCCAAATAAAGATGATGATGATAATTCTGATAAAAAAAATGATAAAAAGAAAAACTTAAATGTTGGTAAAAAGCAATTAAATAATGATTCAGAGAAAAAAGGAAAAATTATGGATCTAAAGAAGAAATTAAATAAACCAAATAAAGATGATGACAGCGATGATGATGATGACGATGATGATGATGATGACGATGATGATGACGATGATGATGATGATGACGATGATGATGACGATGACGACAATGATGATTCAAAAGATGACGACGATGATGATGACGATGATGACGACGATGATGACGATGACGATGATGATGATGATGACACCAAAGAAGTATCACTCTCAAAAGGCAAAAAAGGCAAAAAAGACGACAGTCCAGAAGACGATGACAATGATGACTCGAATGACAAAAAGGTGGTTACGAAAAAATCCAAGTACATTTTGAAATTCGCTCACGAAAAAGAAAAGGGTGAGCATAAAGTTAATGCAGATGCTCTGAGAATACAGAAACTAGAGCGGAAATATAAAAAAAAGTGAGGTTTGTGTTTCTTGATTTTTCTGTTTAAAAAAAATTTTTTTTTAGACATCCAGAAGAGGATTCTAGTGAAGAAGAAGAGTCCCCCAAACGTTTTCATTTCCATCATGATGATGACGACTAAAGTTTTCGTTAAAAATACTCAAACAAATTCCTTATATATATATACAGTGTGTCCAGGGATGGACTTAACTATACTTGTTAAAATATTTATTTTCATTTTTTCGAAGAAAACTCACTTCTCATAATTTCTTCTGTTTTATATATAAATACCATTCACGATGAGAAACTTCTATTTTGTTATACAGGTCCTAACTTGAGTAGTCCTATTATTTTGTAAAAATGACTGCCAACTCATTTTGTGATTATGAATCAAGGTTGTTGCTTTTAACTGACATGTCTACAATTATTTGTTAAAATTTGAAAACTAATATCTTAAATTTTCAGTATTAAATATCTTAGTATCAAAAACTCATTTGAAAAAACTTCATTTGAATTTTTGATTTCTTCTTACCAGCTCTTTATATTAGCGCTTCAAAAAAAATATTTAATTTTTTTTTTGAAAATCAGTATTTTTGATCACCCTGTACAACAAAATGGCGAATCGTATTTATATATAACAAGCAAAAGAAATAATGACTTTTCCTCGAAAAATTTAAAATAAATATTTTTACAAGTATAGTTAAGTCCATCCGTTTATGTATATGCCTTTTTCAATTTGGTAAACAAATAATTGTGCATAGTTAAAATATTCCTTAAGTATCTAGATTGTTTCCTATAATATCTTTAAGTAATAAAACACAAATATGTATTCAATAAATAATAAAAAAATGTAATTTTAAACAGGCCCGTTCCTGGTGAGCGTGCAGTGCGTGCACGCACGCAGGCGCAACATTTCGGGGGCGCAAAATCAAAGAGTCAATCAGTACTTTGTAACGATAAACTTTCTTGCATATGATACTTAAACATACATTGGATAAAGGTTTCTGCCTTTTTTGCGGCCGCTCTTTTTTTCGCCTTTTGCCGCTTTGATATTGGCTGCTAATAATTATTGTCAATAGCCATTTGTATCCCGGATATTTAGGTAGTAGTCAACTCCTATGTAAAATTGTCCGCTGAATCCGAAAATGTCGTCAAAAGTTATAAAAGTAAATTTTCCATATAATATGGTATTGACTATTTCTTAAAAACTGCTTTACTTTTATAATTTTTGACGGTATTTTCGGATTCAGGGGACAATTTTACATAATAATAAGCTGTTAAATGCCAAGGATACAAATTGCTGTGAACTAAAGTTATTAGTGACTCCTTTTTTACTTTGAAAACTAGTCATTTTTAGAGAGTAGGTACGTCACTAAAAACCAGTTGTAGTTATTATATTGTTTAGATTGTTTTTTTTTTGTTTTCTTCAGAGTATTCTTAACACTGACTATTTCCCTCGTCTTAATTTCCACCAATCACAAACGCGCAATTTTGAACTACAAATGGTTTCTAGGTAGAAAAACTGTATGACAGCACTGTCAGCAGTTTTTTCGAGTTTACCCGCGGCAAAACTTGACAGCTGTTGTCCAAATATTATATTTTAATTGTTAACTGTTACTCATGAAATAGTCTTGTCAAATACCATTAGGGCATCTAACTTTTTCTGTGAAAAAAATCGTTAAAACACAATGCTAAGTAATATTTTTTAACAAAATGCTTTTGTGCGGGTGCAAAAATCCTCGTCTTCGACTCGGATTTTTGTTGCCACCAGCACTCATGCTTCTTGTTAAAATATTACTTAGCAACGTGTTTTTTCGATTTTTTTCGGAAAAAATAGATGCCGTTATGTTATTACTTGTTTGTTTGGTAATTTAATAAATATTTTGTATACTTAATTTAAGCGGTATTTTTACATTTTCAATTACATATTGCCAGTTTGTCGCAAAATATATATTTTTTAAATTTTACGGCTTAAAATTTAAATATTTAATGTATTATATAATATAATATATAATTTATATTTAAATATAAAAGGGGCGCACCAACGAATGCTGCACGCAGGCGCCAGGCACCCCAGGAACGGGCCTGATTTTAAATACCCCAATAAAAATAAATGTATTTTTTTTACTCCCACCTGTCATATTTACAATCGTTAAAATAAAGTGCCCTAATTAAACGTTTATCAAACTCGATACATAATAGAACTATTTGTCTCTTTTTTAATTATAAGATACATTTTAAATGAATCGAATATTCTAAGAATATTTTAAGTTTTATTTATTATTATTATTATTAATAAAACTAAAAAGCAACAAATAAAAAATAAATTTAGTCTTTTTATATAATAAAAAAAATTTCCCAACTTTAACTACAAATTACTTGCTTAATAGTTAAAATCCCAAGTCATGAAACCTATTTAAATTACTACTAATTAACTGCAATAACAAATATTTGTGATCTAAATAGGGTATTTCAAGTTTGGACACGAAGTATATCGTGATGTTAAAATGTTAAATAATTAAAAAATTATACGTTTGTATCAACATTTTTAGAGATTCAACAAAAGGTTTACGAATTAAGTAATAATATTAATTACATAGATTTTGTATTTAAAAGTAGGCATAAACAAAAATGGGTTTAGTGAGTAAAACAAACCTAATATTAAACTTACAGGGTGATTCTAGATAAAACTGCTTGATATTTTTTTTATAAAAGAAACATCTCTCATATTTTAGATTAAATTACCATTTTATTTAGACAGTTATCGGACACTTTATAGTTATTGAACAATTAACATTAATATTGTAAAAACAAGAGTTCTATAAATAGTTACCTTAAAGTCAAACCATTAGATGACGCTGTATACAATTATATATATCTCAGTCGGTAATAATATAGAACTACTTTATTTTGGGTCCAATATAGGGCAAAAAAGTTCGCACGTTACTTTGGTGGTAAGATTTTTGTTTTTTTTGTTAAAAGCAGGGCTGTGTTTAAATTACAAAAAAATAATTCTAAAAAGTGTACAGATCATGGTTTAAAAATTGTCACTTTAATACATTTTAATTTTAATTCTGAAAACAAACAGTTAAATGGCCAGTGTCCAATTACATGTCGTCATAATTACTATATTACTATATATTACTATATTACTATATTACTATATACTATATTACTATAGTAATTGACTGCTAAATGTCCTGGATACAAATTGCTGTTGACGACAATTATTAGTGACTGCTTTTTCGCTATGACATTTTTGACTAATTCATTTTTAGAGAGTAAGTAATATAGTGATTTCTTCGACACAGGACATCTTGCAGAATAACAGTGATTTAAATACACTGCATGATAGAGAATATAAAAAACAAATGGCAACAAAATTAATAAATTTGGAAAATACTTTTAACATACCACCCGAAAAAATATTAGATATATATAAATCATCCTGTTAAGGCCTAAACATTATAAATGCTTCACAAACTTCACTTAATGATATTTGCAACAAACTATTTCAGAAGTCAGACCAAGGAATTAGTAGGTACCTTCATAATCCAGAAAAGGGATGAGGAATCCGAGAAAAATATATGAATTATATGATATTTACAAAAACGAAATAAAAAAAAATTACCTAAAACAGCAATTTATCTTTAAAAAATATTTATGATTTATATTTATTTATATAAAAATTGTATCCAATAACTATGGTACATGTATCCAATTACTATATAAAATGTCCAATTACTATATTTTTTTGCATGTTTTTATAAAACTATATATTATCAGTCGAATTTAAAGTTTTAAATTGCGGTACCTTGGAATGACACGGTTCTAAGTACGGCTGGACTGTTAAGAGAAAATTACTTAAGTTTGATAAAACCCATTTTAGTCACGAATTTTAACTAGGCACGAGCGAGCTTATAATTAAACGAGTGTCTAAAAAGTTTATAAACGAGTTGCATCCTATACTTTTTCTTTCTAATGCTTGCAGTTAAATCTAGTTTACTGTCTGAAAAATCAAAGGTTCAATACAAACTTTTCAAATAAAATTTCGAGTAAATTTTAAAAATTTTCATTTTTGATGTAGCAGTGTACATTTGTTTAATATTTACTGTACTTTGAGAAGGATCAATTTCCACTTAAATATTTACGGATGATTCCTGATATTAGCTAGAAACAAAGGTAGGTAAGTGTTTTGCGCATGCTTGTTTGTTAATATGTTTTATAAAAGTATTTAAATCGTTTACGGAACTCGAACAGTTTGGTCGTTAAAAAGTTAGTTCAAAATGGGCATTCAAACAGGTGCGCATAAAATATTGTGTTTATTTACAGGGTATCACATGGTTGAAGGTTGAAATGACAAAAACTTTTGAATACCTGATTTGCAGTTGCTATAAGTTTTTTAAATTTTATTTTGAAAAGGTTTACTTCTTTTTTTATTATTTAACGAGTTTGAACAATTTTTTTTAACCAAAAATTTACAAGAAAAAAAAATGACAGCAACCATCATAATGATTGGATATGAATTGATTTAAAGCTGACTTTGGACTTTTTGTCGTTTTTCAAAAAAGGTCTTCTATTAAGATGCCATTTCTTCCCAATTATCTTATATAAAAAAAAGTTAAAAAAACGACGATTAAAAAAATGTTATAAAAAAATATTCTAATAGGTAAGTACATAAAACTTTTATTTATTTATATATAGGCGAAGATATAAATTTACAATTCGATGATGAGGATAAGAAAAAATTCACGTGTCCAGCTCAATTTGTCCCCGAGGCCGGCGGAATGGGTTATGAATTTTTTATGGCCATGAGGAAAAACAAACAAAAAGTTGCACAGGTAATTTGATCGCGTGACACAATTCACATGGTTATGCATATGCATCATTATGTAGACAATAAAAAAAATCAAAAATTATTTTTCGAGTATATTATGTTATACGAGGTGTGTTCAGAAAATAACAGGAATTGTTAAATTTCGCGGCTTCGGAGGGTCCGGTTGTCATAAAATTTTATTTATTATGTTGGTATACATGCCCCCGAAGTATGATACAAACTTTAGCTATTTTCATTGTTTACTTTGTCTGTGGCAGCCGCTAAGGTTAGACGTGTTTTATGGGCTCTGCGATTTATCGTTCGTTAAAAGAAATGGATCAAAGAATTTGTATCCAATTTTGCTTAAAAAATGAAATAAATTCTGTGAAATGTTAACAAAGGCCTATAGTGAGTCTGCTATAAGTACAACAAGAGTTTACAAGTGGTATAAGAGTTTCCAAGATGGCCGTGAAGACGTTGAAGATGACGAACGCCCCGAACGCACAAGCACATTAACAACCGATAAAAACATGGAAAAAGTGGAAGAATTGGTTATAAACCATCAGAGAAGTCGCTGATGATTTGGTATATCAATTGGCTCATCCCAAATGTTTTGGGTATGAAACGCGTGGCAGCAAAATTTGTTCCAAAATTGTTAAATTTTGAACAAAATTTGTGGCCAAAAACAATAATGTAATGATGCAACAGCCTCCATATTCGCTAGACATGCCTCTGTCTGACTTTTTCCTATTCCCAAAAATAAAGAGAACCTTAGAGGGCCGTCGTTTTGCAAGCATAGATGACATTAAAAGGGCATCGCTGAAAGAACTAAAGGCTATCTCAAAGATCGAGTTTTAGAAGTGTTTCGAGTATTGGAAGAAGAGCTGGCACATGTGCATAATATCCAATGGGGACTATTTTGAAGACGACAACATTAATGTAGACGAATAAATAAATATTTGTTTCAAAAATTGAAAATTCCCGATATTTTCTGAACACACCTCGTATGTGATATTAAAATAATTTACTTTTAAAAATGATTCAGATATATAAGTATACTTAAAATTTAACGTAATCACTTTTATAACAGTAAATTATTAATTAAAGGTTTAAAATCATTATTTGTTTTGCATTTTACTAAAAGTTTTTTTTATAAAAAAACGTTTAAACATCATCAAAAATTCTCTTTAAAAACTAAAATAAAAAAAATAAAATATTTCTCTTGAAAACAAATTATAATAAATAAATCAAACTTCTTAAAATAAATGTAAATAAATAAATAAATTAATTAAATAATAAAAATAATAAATTATTATTCAAACACAAGCTTTGAATAATTTATTCAAAGCCTATTTTCAAACGTTCCCCCAAATTGCGTCAAACAAAAGCCCAGACTGTCATAAAATTCGGTGCGAACATTAGCTAGCATATCTGGTGTAATTGTCTCAAACGCTTTGTGCATTCTTGCCTGTAATTCGCCCAAATTATTCATTTTTTCATGACGGTACAAGGTACATTTTATATATCCCCATATGGAAAAATCAATAGGAGCCAAATCTGGCGACATTGCTGGCCAGCGAATAGCTGTTAGAAATTATCCTTTGGGGAAAAATGTCTTGTAACTATTATTATTGTGTTATGTGATGGGCAACCGTCCTGTTAATACCATACGTTATCCATATTTGGGGTTATGTTTTGGATTGCAGGAATAATTATATTTTGAAGAAGATCCAAATATCTCGCTCCATTTAAATTGTCACCAATTACAAAGGGACCAATAATATTATTCCCATAAATACCAGACCACACGTTCAACTTTTCAGGATACTGAGTCTTTAAGTTTAGTAGAACAGTACCGGACAATAGCAGGATTGTGCTTTCCATGTAATGGAAATGTGGATTCTTCGGTTCTATGTTTTCAATGAAATTTTCATCTTCATTTGCGCGTTCCATCATATTTTCACAAAATTCCATACTAAAATTTCCTGATGTACTTGGTATTTATAGGAACGATATTTTTTTTTTTTTAATATTTTGTTGAATTTACCCACACTAATGCCGGTTTCTTCGGCTATTTTAGGAATTGATGTTTTTGAATCTTCTACCATTTCACAAACCATTATTTCTTTTATCTCCGCATCTACATCAATTCTGGTAGTACTGTGACATTTACACCCCAAAATACAATAATTTGTTTTAAACCTTTGGATAACGTTTGTTATTAACCCAATTGAAGGAATAGAACGTTCCGGATATTTAACTGCGAATAGGTCTCTTGTTTGACGTAGAGAATTGCCCACTAAAGACCAGCTTATCATGTCAATTTTCTCTTGCAATGGTAGGAAAATTATAATTATAATTATTATTTTAAGTCTGGATCTGGAATTCTTTCCACTACTTATATAAATAAACAAACTATTTTGAAAAAACGTAATATTTATATTTTTTAGTATTTGGTGGATCTAGACGAAGAAGACACATACGAATCCCTCTTGCAAAGATCAGTACGCGTGGCTCTTAAACTGAAATCAAAAGGTTACGACAGAGATAGAGAAGACATAATTTGTTTGTGCTCTCACAACCAGAAAAACAGCGCGGTACCTTTTCTATCAGCCACATTCTTAGGCATCAAAGTGTGCTCTCTGGATCCTACCCTGTCACAATCGGACGTCACCCACTTGATTGATCAAGTTAAACCGTCGTTATTCTTTGTGACGCAGAGATCCAGCGACTTGATCAAAAATGCTTTGGAAGAGTTAGGTCTGAAATCTGAGGTTGTGGTTTATGAAGACGAAAGTTTTGAGGAGTTTCTGGAGGAGGGCGAGGAGGAAGAAACTTTTGAACCTGTGATTGTTGAGGATTTGTTTGAGACGGCTGTGATTTTTTTCAGTAGCGGGACTACAGGGTTTCCCAAGGGGATTTGCTTGAATCATTATGGTTTACTATCACAATCCATGGGTTTAGTGTAAGTTATTTTTACAATGCTTGAAACCTAAAATAATTAGTGTTATGTTTAAGCCTGGCTGGAAATATGACTTCAGTAACGCTTTCCTATGCTTCATTATACTGGATTTCAGTGGTATTAATATTTACTGCAACAGTAAAATGTGGTTTTGCAAGGGTAATCTGTTCCACATACACACCAAACGATTTCTACAAGTTGGTGGATAAATATAAGGTATATTTTAAGACCAATATTTTTTTTAATAATAATTCTCTTTTCTAGATAACTCTTGCAATTCTTGCACCAAACCAAGGCATAGACGTTGCAAGATCTCCAAGAGCAGATAACCTTGATACAAGTTCACTGAATATGGTTATTATTGGTGGGGGATGTTTAAGTGAAACCTACATTAAAGAATTATGGGAACTTTTACCAGGCACTTTTGTATGTCACGCGTATGGACAAACAGAAGTGGCTGGAATTTTATGCCTATTCCGAAGCAACAATGTTAATGATACTTTGGGGCTTTATCATAAACCAAATTCTTGCGGAAGGCCTATTCCTGGAATGTCTTACAAAGTAAGAACGTGGCTTGTTCCTGACACTTAATGAAATATACCGTTTTAGGTTGTAGAATTGGAAACTGACACTCTTTGTGGACCTTTTCAACGAGGCGAGCTCTGCGTCAAATCTAATAATATAATGAATGGATATCACAACGCAGACTCGTCAGAAACCTTCGATTCGGACGGTTGGCTTAAAACAGGCGACATCGTTTATTACGACGACGAGTTCTTCTTTTACGTGGTGGACCGTATAAAGGAAATGCTGAAGTTCAGATCCTGGCACGTCGCGCCTGCGGTATTGGAGCGAGTCATCCTGCAACATCCTGCGGTGAATAAAGCTGTGGTGATCGGGATTCCGGACGAGGAGGATGGCGACCACCCCATGGCGTTGGTATTGTTGAACGAAGATGTTGATGGTGTTACGGAGGACGAGCTCAGGAGTTACGTGGATGAAAGAGTGGACGATAAGCAGAAGCTACGTGGCGGACTTAAAATTATCCATGATATACCTTTAACGCCCAGTGGGAAAGTTAAAAGGAAGTATTTGCAGAAGTTGGTTTTGGAGGGGAAGATTTAATTTTAGTGTTGATATTATTATTAATAAAACATATTTATTGTCCAGTGATTTTTTCAAAAATACCTGATTTTCTTCGTAGAAGTACACACTTTTTTCGATGTTTGAACCAATTTCACTTTAGCTACTTAACTGATTGGGCATTGATATTAAATGTTGTCAGCGGTTGCAATCAGATTGGTCATTTTTAACTTGAGATTAAGCTTAAATTGCAAAGCTGTTAATAAATAATTTCAAATGCATTTTGGCCATTGAAATGGAGTTTAAGGTAGGTAATCAATATAATCTAGTTATCAAAATACTTTACTTCCCAAATTAGAGACAATCAAGGCATATACGTTGCAAGGGCTCCAAGACCAGATAACCTCGATACAAGTTCACTGAATATGGTTATTATTGGTGGGGGATGTTTAAGTGAAACCTACATTAAAGAATTATGGGAACTTTTACCAGGCACTTTTGTATGTCACGCGTTTGGAGAAACAGAAGTGGCTGGAATTTTATGCCTATTCCGAAGCAACAATGTTAATGATACTTTGGGGCTTTATCATAAACCAAATTCTTGTGGAAGACCTATACCTGGAATGTCTTACAAAGTAAGAACGTGGCTTGTTCTTGACACTTAATGAAATATACCGTTTTAGGTTGTAGAATTGGAAACTGACACTCTTTGTGGACCTTTTGAAAGAGGCGAGCTCTGCGTCAAATCTAAAAACACAATGAATGGATATCACAACGCAGACTCATCAGAAACCTTCGATTCGGACGGTTGGCTGAAAACAGGCGACATCGTTTATTACGACGACGAATTCTTCTTTTACGTGGTGGACCGTATAAAGGAAATGCTGAAGTACAGATCCTGGCACGTCGCGCCTGCGGTACTGGAGCGAGTCATCCTGCAACATCCTGCGGTGAATAAAGCTGTGGTGATCGGGATTCCCGACGAGGAGGATGGCGACCACCCCATGGCGTTGGTATTGTTGAACGAAGATGTTGATGGTGTTACGGAGGACGAGCTCAGGAGTTACGTGGATGAAAGGGTGGATGATAAGCAGAAGCTACGTGGCGGTCTTAAAATTATCCATGATTTACCTTTAACGCCCAGTGGGAAGGTTAAAAGGAAGTATTTGCAGAAGTTGGTTTTGGAGGGGAAGATTTAATTTTAGTGTTGATATTATTATTAATAAAACATATTTATTGTCCAGTGATTTTTTCCAAAACACCTAATTTTATTCGTAGAAGTACACACTTTTTTCGATATTTAAACCAATTGCACTTTACCTACTTAACTGATTGGGCATTGATTTTAAATGTTGTCAGCGGTTGCAATCAGATTGGTCATTTTTAACTTGAGATAAAGCTTAATTTGCAAGCTGTTAATAAATGATTTCAAATGTATTTTGGCCATTAAAATGGATTTTAAGGTAGGTAACCAATATAATCTAGTTATCAAAATACTTTACTTCCTAAATTAGAGACAATCAAGGCATATACGTTGCAAGGGCTCCAAGACCAGATAACCTTGATACAAGTTCACTGAATATGGTTATTATTGGCGGAGGATGTTTAAGTGAAACCTACATTAAAGAATTATGGGAACTTTTACCAGGCACTTTTGTATGTCCATATATGGACAAACAGAAGTGGCTGGAATTGTATGCCTATTCCGAAGCAACAATGATAATGATACTTTGGGGCTTTATCATAAACCAAATTCTTGTGGAAGGCCTATACCTGGAATGTCTTACAAAGTAAGAATGTGGCTTGTTCCTGACACTTAATGAAATATACCGTTTTAGGTTGTAGAATTGGAAACTGACACTCTTTGTGGACCTTTTCAACGAGGCGAGCTCTGCGTCAAATCTAAAAATATAATGAATGGATATCACAACGCTGACTCGTCAGAAACCTTCGATTCGGACGGTTGGTCTTAAAACAGGCGACATCGTTTATTACGACTACCGTATAAAGGAAATGTTAAAGTACAGATCCTGGCACGTCGCGCCTGCAGTATTGGAGCGAGATTTAATTTTAGTGTTGATATTATTATTAATAAAACATATTTATTGTCCAGTGACTTTCTCAAAAACACCTGATTTTCTTCGTAGAAGTACACACTTTTTTCGATATTTGAACCAATTATTAAATTAGATTAATTTAAAAAAATACAGTAGCTATTAAAACATGTAGTTATTTTTGTATGATTATTCTTTAATAACCAAACAATTTCAAAATTTACTTTTTTGACTAATTTATTTTACTTCTAAATACTGATATGGATAAATTTGTTGTAGGTAATTTATAATAAAATATGTTTAAATATTAGATTCATTGAAAACTTAAAGTTAGTTTATAAAACTATGATTTTATTATTAAGTATTGATTGAAATTGTATCTTATAAGGATAAATTTAAAAAAATATCTGCAGACTTTAGTTTTGCGTAAAGGTTGTTATAATGTCCGAAAATATAATTGTGACGAAAAATTTAAAATATCCTGCTGATTTACCACCAGGATTAGGAAGTTTGTATTTTAAAAATATGCAGAAACACGCAAAACAGAATAAAATTGCACAGGTAAATATTCTATTTTATGTCTGATAAAATTTAATATCTTTGACTCCAATATTTTCCTCACAAATTTACTATAAAATTATATCTTAAATATAAAAATTAATTGCATGAAATGTTGATACAACGTTGTTTCCGCCAGGTTTTCTACTCCAATTCCATAATATTGTTTTATTCGAACCTATGTAATAATAACCATTATAACCGCCCCGCATAACAAGGAGAATATTGAACTCATTATTCACCTTGGCGACTATAATATTATTTTAAATTGAGGTTAACCATATGGGGTCAATTAAGTGTGATTTAAAAAAACTTCAAATGTTCTTGTAGATAGTCCACAAAACTGGTGAAAAAGATTCGTATGATTCCCTACTAAAAAGATGCATACGGACTGCATTATACCTACAAGAAATCGGAATAAAAAAAGACGATGTGGTCTGTCTTGTTGACTCAGTTCATGTAAACAGTTGTGTCCCATATATAGCCAGCCATTTGATTGGGGCCATACCAAGTTGTATTGCGATAGATTACCCGATCGAAGATAAAAATAAACTTGTCAAGATACTGGAACCAAAAGTGATTTTTACTTTGCCCGAGCATGTGGAGGAAATGCGGAACATTTGCATGCTTTTGAATTTGCGGGCAAAATTTGTGGTTTTTGGGGAATATAAAGAAGAAACTAGGTTTGAAGATGTAAATCAACCAAATCCAAACGAAGATAAATTCGAACCCATAGAAATAAAAAATCTAAAAGATACGGCGATAATGTATTTCAGCAGCGGTACCACTGGGCTACCAAAGGCTATATGTTTAAATCATTTTTCAATGCTGATAAATTTAATTCAAGATAAAAACACGGAAAATCCCGATTACGATGTTATGAAGCATTGGGCTAACGCGGTAGACACTAACTTTACCATTATAGATTATACAAAATATTCTTGGATTTCTACAGGTGTTTGTCTAGCGCAATCTATTCATTGGGGATATACGAGGATTCTATGGGAAAAATTTGATGTATCCAAGTTTTGGCAAATCGTGGATAAGTATAAGGTAAGTAAGACAGGTACAGGTGTGTCCAATTTACTTACTGTGATTCAATAGCTTTGAACAGATGTAATTTTTTTAATTATAGGTAAATTTTGCATTCGCCTTACCCAACAATGCCAACAAATTGATAGAAACACCCATACCGGAAAATTGTGACATCTCCAGCTTGGTTCTTATGTTGATAGCTGGTACGCGCATTTCAGCTGAATGTATAGTAGCCTTAAGAAAAATGGTACATCCTCTAGCAACCGTTTTACAGGGTTACGCACAAACAGAATTCTGCGGTGCAAATACTTACTACGATATTTATAATAAAGATCATAGGAGATTGTTTACTGAAAAGCCACATTCTGTGGGGTTGCCTAGTATAGGATACACTTATAAGGTAAGGTTTTAACCATTTTATTATTATTTTTTTCGTGTAAAAAAGTTTTTCATTCGATTTTTAACTTTTTTTAATTGTCTATGCTTATAAGCTATAGTGGTTTTACTAAAAGAACTTTTCCTAAATACCTAGATATTGCGTACTCTCTAAAAATGAAAAAGTCAAAATTCTACTATTTGAATTAGTACCAACATTGTTTAGTAATTACTAACAAAATAGTCGTTTTTACTTTTAAATACTTATTTTTTACTACTTAAAATGTCAAAGTTTGACTTATTTAAGATAAGTCACCATCTTTGACTGTTTCCAAAAGTAGAAAGTAACTAATTTCTTTAATCGTTTTTAATTCTTGTGGCCAATGGTTAAATGGTCTATAAAAACAAACAAAACTTAAGCGCTCAAAACCGCAACACAAAAAAAATATTCAAATTTAAAATATTAGATATTAACAATATTTATAGACAGATATAACTAATTTTTATAAAAGTAGCTGTGGTGCAACGGTTAGGCATCCGCTTGACAAGTGACAGACCCGAGTTCAAACCCTGTCTGGATCAAAACTTTTTTAAATTTTAATATATTAATTTGACTATTTTATTCGGTAATATTTGACTAATTATTGGTGACTGCTTTTTCGCTATAACAATTAGTCAGAGCGCCCATATTTAAACCCCAACTCCATGACGTGTGGTGAACATAATTTTTTGACTTTTTTAATTTTAAGGTGGTCGACATGGAAACAAAGGAAATCCTTGGTCCAAACAAACAAGGCGAGCTCCTTGTTAAAGGTCCAACAATAATGAACGGCTACTACAAAATGGACGCCAAGGCCGACTTTGACGACGAGGGCTTCTACAAAACGGGGGACATAGTCTACTACGACGAAGATAAGTCTTTCTACATAGTGGACCGCATAAAGGGTGCAATCAAGTACAAATCATTTATAGTATGTTCATCGGAAATCGAGGACATACTGATGAAGCACCCGGCGGTCCGACAGGCAGCTGTTTTTGGTACGAAGAACCCCGAGGATATGAACCACGTGACCGCGGTGGTGGTCGTGGAGGAAGGTTCGCAGGTGACACCTGAAGAAGTCCGGGAGTTTGTCGATAGGCAAGTCCCTGATTACAAAAGGATCAGAGGAGGCGTTAAGTTTGTCAAATCGATTCCGATTACTTCGACTGGAAAAATCAAGACCAGTGCTCTCAGGAGTTTAATTGAATAAATGTAGATACAAGAGAGGAATTTAAAGATATTTTACAATATTTTAATTCAAAATTATATTTAATAATTTACTAAAATAAAGAGAAAAATATATTGTAGAATGAATAGAAATAATAAAAATATTAGGATTAAAACAAAATTAAAAATAGTTACTTTCCTAAGAAGTGCGCAAAGTTACATTTTTTCGCACGCTACTGCAGGCAGTAAGTTCGGAAAAATTACTTTGCGCATGTTTTAGGAACAATATTAATGTTGATTACAAAGGAACAATTATTAATATTTTCTAAATTAATTGTAGAACAGGTTAATTCATTCAACGGATGACTTGTTGTACTATTCAATAAAGTCATGCATTCTTTTATGTAGCTCTAGGCGACAGCCGTTGATTTAAATCATAGCATTTTAATCAAGCAGCATTTTAAGTTTAAATAACTACAACTTTACTACTAAGTCAACTTTAAAGTATATTTTACGGTTAATAAAAACGGTTTTATAACGGTATAGATACGAAAAATTACCAAATTTGGGGAATGGTTTATTTCGTTATTTTACCTACATAATACCTTTTGGATCTACTAAGAGAATAACGTAATAAAAACAATATAAATACCACAAATTTACGTAAAAATAACGTTATAATTACTAACTGTTTACTCTCTCTTTCAAAAACATTGACATTCGTAATTTCTTTGTTCTTTTAATTTATATTTTACAAAATGGTACTTACAAAGTAATAAAGGTCACCCTAGAGTAAAATTATAAAATATAAGTTAAATTGTCAAAACTAATAATAATTTGCATTAAAACTCAAACGCATATTATTTTATTGATAAAAATAGGCAGAATACATCTTAATACATACCCTCTAAATATTTTACAGTTTTAAAAAAAATTATTGCTTGGGTTAAAATTCAACAAAACTTAAAAC